CATGTGACATTCCGAAAGCAAAGAATGCCAACAAAAAATATAAATTATGAAACGAGGGTGTGGGTGTGGGTGTGGGGTATGGGTGTGGGTGTGGGTGTGGGTGTGGGTGTGGGTGTGGGTGTGTGTAATCGGATAATGTCATGTATGCCCGCCCACACTCCATAGTCACATCCGCACTCTGCACTCCACACCGACACCTACGCCCACACTCTCGTTTTTGAGACTTCAGCGTAGTATCTTATAAAGAGTATTTTAAAGAAAAACAATCATTGTGATACCCAGTGCAGAAATGGACAGGTGCCATGTTGTCGTATTAAAATGGATAGTAACAAATTACAGAAAGCTAGTTGCAATTGTTGTTTCTCTTATTTTTCAGAAACACATTAAACTAACTTCTAGATTATACGATGAAGGATAGCTAGATGTTAAAATGGATAGCTACATTTGTACATGTGATAAACGGCGATCAAGGCATTTAAACAGACGTTTCTGGTTTATTTGTCTGCTTGTGTTCACTATTGATAGTATGGACTTGTGCATTGTTCCATTTGCAGAATTGATGCTCTCTTTTCGTGTCGGCGCATTGTCCTTGTTGATGGTCAGATTGACTAGAAAAAGAGAAAACTAACATCATTTTAGTTAGGGCCTTTTCCCCTCAAAAAAGCCAATTTTTGTCAGAAATTTCGAATTTGAGATAAATGCATGGGAAGATAGCCCGTCTTCAGATCTTTCATAAAAGACAAAAGTTTTTACTCGGCGCTTTCTTTTTTCCAAAAATTTTCGAAGATTTTTGTAACTCCCTGTGCAAAAAGTAAGGTGTTTTTAAAAGAAACCGAAAATGTTTTTCGTTTTTTCTCAGTTTATGACTTATCGAACGCGCAAACAAAATTCTCTGTCGATATCCATTCCGCATATTAAAATGTCTTTTTTGTTTGAAAGAGTGTGTCAAGACGCAGGGCCGCAAAGAGCCTTTTTTTATAAATTAAGCTTTGTTTTTACTATATACATAAACATTTATATTAATTGGCGTCCATTTTTAGAGAGTTTTTGAGTCATTGAGGGTGTGGGTAGATGTGGGTGTGGGTGTGTGGGGTGGGTGTGTGGGTGTGGATGTGGGTGTGTGGGGTGGGTGTGGATGTGTGGGGTGTGAGTGTGGGTGTGGGTGTGGGTGTGTGGGTGGGTGTGGGTGTGGGTATGGATGTGGGTGTGGGTGTGGGTGTGGGTGTGGGTGTGGGTGGGGTGTGGGGTGTGGGTATGGATGTGGGTGTGGGTGTGAGTGTGGAGGAATGATAACACTCGCACCAACACCCAGCCACACCCATACCCACACCCAACACCCTCATCCACATCCACACCCACCCATACCCATACCCACACCCCACCCACACCCCACCCACACCTACACCCACACCCTCTATAAAACCAAGTAAATTATGTACAAATATTACGTTGTTTAAAAAAAAAGAATAATTGATAATGTGCTATTATTGGTGTTCGATATTTAACATATAATTCATGATAATATATTAAACCACAATAAGATTGTAATTGATCACTTATAGATAAATGTGTTATTAATGATGATAGTGTTAATATTGGTGACCATCATGCTTCTTATGTATAATCAAGGATATTAAGAGTATGTATTCATTGTAATAATAATTTAAAATATTCACTTAAAATAGTTAAGCATGAAAATGTATCAAGACGACGTATCGTTTCATCATGAATTCATAATTGACGAAAATCATTTACAATTTTTCGAGATTGTTTAGTTACAATAAAATCATAGATCTTGAAAAGCATATAACTTTTAAAGTCAAATATTTTTCGCTACTCCATTAGGAATTAATGCATTGAAGGAAAGTTTTATATTCAAATTAATGGATGATATGTTACTATCATATAGATTATGATCAATGCTTAAGCTCTTTTGATTTTGATAGAAATCAGTTTTTACTTGTTCAGTTAGTTTCTTACTCATAAAGTTTCAAACCGAAATTTTTAAATTAATAATAATTGCTGGACTATCGTATTGATGGCTATAAATACACCATTATTTTGATTCATTACTATTTACCATAATAGGCAAACATACATGAAGATAATTGAATGTAAGAGAAACTAATGTCATATCGATTTGATCACGTCTTTGTTGAGTATTAGTTAAAATTCGAAGAAGAGCTCTAAAAATAAAAACGAGAATAGCAGTTTTTTAATTACAAATAAAATCCTTTCAAATACTTACAGGATAAACGTTTCATCTCGTGTTCCGTTAACTAATGATAAAATGACATTCCATCGTGTTAATATAGCATCTTCAGTTAAATTTTGTACAAGACATCAAAGTATTATATTTCTATTCATTAAACATTGATTTGTAGATTGATAGTTGACATTCTAAGAAAAACTTTTTAAACTACAGGAAAATTTCATAAGTAGAAACAACGAGCATTTCTATTTACTAATGTTCAAAAAGCAACAACAAATCGATCAATTAATTGTAATAGAACTGATAATGCAACATCAAATAGTGTTAATTCTATGGAATAAATATCCAAAAGCAATTGAGCCTATTTGAAAAGAAAAAGTAACGTATAATCGGAGATTATTAAAAAAATAGCCTTACATCAACCAATAGTAATATGTGAATGTAAATGAGCAAGAAGAACATCGATAATTTACCGTGAAAGTCGTTTCCATTTATCACCTTCATGTCGAACGTTATCAACAATAACTATTACAAATCGTAAAGCCTATCACAATATTAATTCTCTCATTATTTTTTCAGTACATGTACATTACATGCGAAACACACTTTTATTAATAATAATTAAGACGCGCAGTTTTGCCTAAAACTAATCATTGCGGCATCATTTATCAAATACAAAACTTAAGATTACTGTCTCAAAATCTTCGTGAGTTCTGAGAATCAACAAAATGGTTATTTTTCCAACCACTATTAACATCTCGAAATCCAACTTCCATTCATACGAACTAATCATAACGAATTAAGATACATACTAATTTTTTTCTTACTCGAGTCATCTACACAGCAAGACTCAACCAAAAAACAAAACAACTCCTCGGTCACCCAGATTTTACTTTGATAAAATCAAGATATTTTGTTCTCTTTTTCAGGTGAAATGCAAAGTGACAAAAAAAATGAATCACAAAATTCAATGCAAAATTTTACTTCTTCAAATAATGATATTTCAAAATCAATGTATCTTATTTTTTTCCTTCATTATTTCGTTCTACCAATTCGGCCAAACAAGCTTTAAGCTCCTCTCCGATTTGATTGTTCTCGAGATTTAGTGTGGCGAGTGTCTGTGTGAAAAAGTGTAAATAGGTATATGAGAGAGATGAAGAGAGAATGAGGATCACGGTGTTGTGTCGTAATGCATCAGCGAGATGTTGTGCTCCTTTCTCTCCGATTTGATTGTCTCCAAGATATAGTGTGGTGAGTGCCTATGTGAAAAAGTGGAGATGGGTATATGAGAGAGATTAATAGAGAATGAGGGTCACGATGTTGCGTCGTAATGCATCAGCGAGATGTTGTGCTCCTCTGTCTCCGATTCGACTGTAATGGAGATCTAGTGTGGTGAGTGTGTGTGTGAAAAAGTGTAGATGGGTATATGAGAGAGATGAAGAGAGAATGAGGGTCACGGTGTTGTGTCGTAATGCATCATCGAGATGCTGTGCTCCTTTCTCTCCGATTTGATTGTCTCCAAGATATAGTGTGGTGAGTGTGTGTGTGAAAAAGTGTAGATGGGTATCTGAGAGAGGTTAAGAGAGAGTGAGGGTCACGGTGTTGTTTTGTAATGCATTATCGAGATGTTGTGCTCCGACAGCACCGACTTGATTGCCTCTGAGATGTAGTGTGGTGAGTGTCTGTGTGAAAAAGTGTAGATGGGTATATGAGAGAGATGGAGAGAGAATGAGGGTCACGGTGTTGTGTCGTAATGCATCAGCGAGATGTTGTGCTCCGAC